TGCCCAGTTTCAGCCTCAGCACTCCTGAGCGCTGTGCTGGCCCTCACGACTCTGCCCCAATTGAAGTTACCTCAGAACAGGAATTTCATAGTGCAATAGCGTGACTGCATGCTGTTCTCTTCAACGTTTTCGAGGAGCTTCCATATTGTTTTTCATCGCAGCTGCATCTTTTTTATATTCCCACCAGGAGGGCCAAGGGATCCAATTTGCCACACCCTGGTCAAAAAACCCGTTTTAACAGCAGCCATCTTAATGGGTACAAAGAGCTATCTCATTGTTTTGCTTCGCTTTGCAGGTTTTTATATTTATTTATTTTGTCTTTTTGAGACAGGGTCTCAATATTCAGTTCAGGATGACCCTGAGTTTGTTAGCCCAGGTTTGTGTGGAAGTCGCAACAGTTCTCCTGCCTCATCCTTCAGAGTACTGGATTACAAATGTGTGCCACCACATGTGGCCTGCCTTGCAGTTTTTTTTTTTTTTTTTTTTTTTGCGGTACTGGGGATTTGAACTCATGACCTTGAACTTGCCAGGCAAGCACTTATTCTACTGAGCTATCTCCCCAGCCCTGCCTTGCAGTTTTTAATAATTAGTTTTGTCGAGCATCTTACTTACTTACTGGCAACTTACTTACTGGCTATTTCCATATTTTATTTGCCAAAATATGTATGCACTTTGTCCTCTGTTTTGGACACTTGGGTTGCTATTGCTTTTAGCTACTGTGGCTAGCTCATACCTTTGAATCATTGGATATTCTCTCACTGCATGGTGTTTCTGCACATAGATTTTATTTATTTATTTATTTTTTAGCAGAACCAGGGATTGAACTCAGACCCTTGTGCTTGCTAGGGAAGCGCTTATTCCACTGAGCCATCTCCCCAGCCCCTTGCATGGTGTTTCTAATGGACTCTTAAGACAATGGTGTGAATCGCTGGCGGAGGAGGAGGGTGGTGACTGAGCAATAGGCCAATCAGAGTAACACACACCGTGTTCTATCTACCACCCTCGCTCCTTTCTGACTGGCTTACAATCCTAGAACAATGTCTGGGGACTCAGCTTCCTCCTGCTGTCATTCTCTATGGCTTTTTCTCCAAGATGCTGCAGGAGTCACATGTAAGTAGAGCCGCAAGTCCTGCTCTATGAATCCTCTAGCAATGCCTGAACCCTGAGGAGACGCACAGGCTCCAGCAGGGGTCCCTGCTAGGTAGAAGGAATGGAAGAATAAAGCAGGAGGTCCAGGGAGATGGCTCAGTAGAATAAGTGCTTCCCCAGAAAGCGCAAGGGCTTAAATTCAATCCCTGTTTGGGGGGGGGGGAATAAAGCAGGAGTCACTCATTTGCTGTAGAACTGGGTCTAGTTCTTTTTTTTTCTTTCTTTTTTTTTTTTTTTTCAATCTTTTTGAGACAAGATCTCATTTTCTAGCCCAGGCTAACCTCAGATTTGTGATCCCCTGCCTCAGCCTCCTGGCGGGATTACAGACATACATCACAATGCCTGGCTCCTGGATCTAGATTTTTTTAAGGGTCCTTGTGAAGTTTTTGTTTTGTTTCTTGTCTTTTTGAGACAGGGTCTCACTATATAGTACTGGGAGCACTGAAGCTGGAAGTTGATCCTATGTGGGAGAGCAGGAGGAGGCCTCACTGCCTAAAGCAGTCAGGCGACCTCAGTCCTGAGAAAAATGTCCTGTCTGGACATTGTGGGCTATTAGTCACGAGGCAAGCTTGTGTCTTGTTACTGTGCAAAGGTATAAATAAATCCCCTGCTGTTGTGCTTGGGACATCTCACCAACCAGGCAGACAGGCCACCACCTGACCCAGCTCTTGTCTTATCTTTTTTTTTCATTCCTGCCACAGTTTCTCCCTGGGTACAGCAGATAACACTGAGAGACAAAAGGATCCCTACAACGCAGTTCAGGCTGGCCTTGAGCTCACTTTGTAGCCCAGGCTGATCTCAAACTTGCAGCAATCCTTCGGCCTCAGCCTCTTGATTACAGGCCAGGAGGCCTGGCCGTGAAGTTCTTTCACTGTGCACCAGTGCCAACTTGGGTCGGAGTATGGTGAAAAACAACACCCCCAACACACTTTACATGATTGAGGTAAATTACTTTTAAGTGGGTAGCAAGGCCAAGCAATGCCTAGGATTCATGGTCTGACTATCTTCTGAGGCTTGAGAAAGCCATCCATGTGCACTGCCCTTTCAAGACACTGCAAAGAAAGTGGCCTGCCCTGGTTTTATACCTCAGAGGTAACATGATCCACTGGCCTACAGCATGGAAGGGTGCACTGTTCTGAGAAGCAGAGCCAGAGCCCAGGCTGTCCCGACAGCCCCCCCTTTCCTCAAGATAGTGCATCCCCAGCACGTCCTGCAGAGAGATGGAGGGTAAAGGAGGCTCAAGGCTGCCGAGAGAGCCGTCCTGGTCCTGCGGTCCTGATTCCAGCTGTAGTGCTCCCACCTCCCCACAGCATCCCTTTCCTTCCACCAAGGCCACAGGAGAATCCAGTCTCTGACTAACCCAACTCAGTCGCGTCACAAGGGCATTTCAGCATTTGCAAGTTACCGATAATTTTTTTCTGTTCAAATGAATGTAAAGTTTGGTGAATCCTCCACCACGTAACATTTATTAATTAGAAAAGGAAAAGAGCAACCTTACAGAAATCTGCAGGTCCCACCTTAGTAGGACATCAGTGATTAATGTCCACAAGGGAAAGCTGGCTGGGTGTGGTAGCACGCACCTGTTCCAACAAAGAGGGTAGATTATTTTAGCCCACAATGTCACTCTGAAGAAATTTTAGTGATTTCTTGCTTCTGACACAGGCAAAGATTGATTTATATGAGGCAAAATAGACAATCACAAGTAATTTCACTGAGTGCACTTTATTGCTTTTCTTTAATAGAAAGGAGATCTAAGGTCCTTTTAATGACAATGCATAATTTCTTACCAAAGTCCATAGGACCATTTTTTTCTGTTTGTTTGTTTGTTTGTTGTTTTTATTTTTTTTTTTTCAGGCAGGATCTCACTATATAGTTCTCACTATATAGTTGGACTCCCCTCATAGCCCAGGCTGGCCTGGAACTCACAGCAAGCCTCTTATCTCAGCCAAGAGCAGGGATCACACCCAGCTGAAAGACCAGTTTTTCATGTTGCTCTTGCTAGTAAATGTGGATTATTACCAAAGCAGTAAACAAAATACATTTACTTTAATCCCCAACTGACAGCTAATAAAATGATCAATTAAAGGATTATACTGTTTTTTTTAAAGCAACATCTTTGAACAGCAGTGACTAAAAATAGTTTTATCATGAATTCTTTCTGATCAGATGTCAATACAGGAACGAGGAAAGGACTTCATTTTGCTGCCTAATTCATGTTTTATGAAAAGGGTTTTATCAGAAAAATTATTTAAAATTTTGTTGGCCATTGAAATCTTACACAAAAAGGGAACTTTCATTTCATTATAAAACAGACTGTGAAGCTAGGGAGACCCCACCCAAACCTGATTTCTCTCATTTTTCTTTTTCCTGGCTCTGTGACACGACCTGTAGGAGGCAGGCTGAGAGGATTTGGATTGCCACACTGCGCCAGGATACCATTTCGTCAGCACAAAGCTTCCCTAGGTGCAAGGGTCAGGAGTCCCAGCATTCTCTCCTCTCTGCACGCAGTTGCGCCACCCCAAATGGGTGAGTTAGAAGTGGGGCCTGGTGGCAAAAGCCACTGAGCGCAGAAACCTGCTGTTCAGCTCTCAGCTACCACTCCCTAAACACTTCCGGCGTGCTAGACTGTGCGCTGAAGGATCTTCATGCTCTCAAAACCAATCCGAGGTGGGTCACCGACCCACACTACTCCAGGAGGTGGACCACTCCGGAGTTCCGTTCTGTGTTTCCTTTTCACACACAATGCAAAGGACAGACCACAAAACTGTAATTTTAAAATTGTCTTCTAGAAAAGAACTGCAGCTTCAGAACAAAAATTACTCAACGTTATAATGTGTTTCTCTCTTCTAAGGTGTTCCCTAATATATATATATATATATATATATATATATATATCCCCACGGGTCTAAGGATACAGTAGCTTTGAGCACTGCGTACAGGCCGGGGTGCTTTTCAGCCATGCATGCGCTTCTTCCCGCAGACCTCCCTCCGCCAGGAAGCTGAGCTACTAGGCGCACTGCAGATCCCAACTTCAGTGTGACTGGTTCGCATCCTAAGAGCCCAGGGGACCAGTAGGGTGACAGACGGGAAACAGCCCACTTGGCACCTCCGGAAGACACCCCAACTGCGACGCAGCAGCGCTCGGCGCTCTTCAAACACCGGCGCTTCCTTCGACTGCATACCTTTCACCCTGGCAAATATTTTCAGTCCCTCCTAACATGCCCTGAAAATTGTTTTTCCGTGACAGGAGTCAGCCAACATATTCCTCGAGGGAGCGGCTGAGAGTGGGGAGATGGCCACGGACCGCATTCGCGCTTCCCTGTCACGCTGCGGCGAGTCACGCGCGGGGTCCTCGCGCCTCGGAAAACGATCAGAGGGGGCGAGACCGCTCAGAGTCGGGCTTTAGGCTTCTCCAAGGAAATGTTTCTTACTATAACATTTAAATAATTCTCTCCAAAGAGTATACTGCACAAATTGTGAGAACAGTACTAAGAATTACACTCAAATTCTGGATGGTGGTTCAACAGGTAGGTGGAGTCAGCGGTAGTCATACGCCAACACGGCACCACTGTGGACACAGGTCCAGATTAACCATGACGGCACAAAGGTGCAGTCACAGGGCCAAGGTTCAAAGCCCCCGCGCGCCGGGGCTCCCCCTGGCTCGGCCGCGTCTGCCCCCCCGCGGCGCACCGGGCGCCCGCTCCGCCCCCGCCTTCTCAACCCCTGCGAACTCTCCAGAAGGGCAGTGCCGGGGCTCGGCGGATGAGCTCCGGGGGCGCCCTGCTGCACACTCTGGTCCGCGCGGCACCCCGCTCAGCCTCCTGCCCGGCCGGGTAGCGCAGCCTCGCCCCCCACAAGCCCCAATGCGCGTGCGCAGTGATGCCCCGCCGCGCCGCGCCCAGGCACCGGGGGAGGCTGGTTCGTGCACCGGCCCTGCTGACCATTGCCCCCCGCCGGACGCCCGGGCTCAGCCCGCCTCGCCTCCCCTCCCCAGTCAGAGTCCTCGGCGGGGAGGGGAGGAGCCTGGGCGTGAGGGGCGGGCCGCGGACTGGGACTCCCAGGCGCTTCCCGGAGCGGCGGTGCGGCGCGGAGAAGCCATGTCCGCGCTGCCGGGGCTGCGGCCCGAGGTGCGCGACAGCTGCGCCTCGCTGGGGTTCATGCTGCTGGTCGTGTTGCTCGTGGGGCTGGCGCGCGCAGGCGCTCGGAAGCGGCTGCACCGGCCCGCGGCCCACGCGTTCGTCTCGGAGTTTCTAGGCACCTTGCAGCTGTGCTGCTGCACCCACGAGCTGCTGCTGCTGAGCGAGCAGGACTCGGCGCACCCCACCTGGACGCTGACGCTCGTCTACTTCTTCTCGCTGGTGCACGGCCTGACTCTGGCGGGCACCTCCAGCAACCCGTGCAGCCTGATGATGCAGATCGCGCTCGGGGGCATGGCGCCCGAGATGGGCGCGCTGAGGCTCCTGGCGCAGCTGGCTAGCGCCCTGGGCAGCAGGTACTGCATGCGCGCCCTGTGGAGCCTGGGGCTGACCCGGTACCATTTCGGTGAGAGGATCTTCGATTGCCGGAATCCCGTCCAGTCTGACCTGCCCAAGGCGGTCATGACCGAGGCCATCTGCTGCTTTATCTTCCACAGTGCCCTGCTGCAGTTCCAGGAGGTTCGGGCAAGGCTGCGCGTCCACCTGCTGGCTGCAGTCATCACCTTTTTGGCCTACGCAGGTTTGTCATTCCCACAAAAACGCTTGCCGCATCCGAACTGTGCCTCTAAATTCTTTATCAAAATACATTAGAAATCCCTGCGCCACTGTGATGGAAATATTGCTTCCCCCATATTTTAATTTGCACCCCGTTTTTAACCGATGAAGCCAACACACAGATCCTTCATTCGATGCTCATTTTGAACACCCAGGGAAGAAAGCCACTTTTGTGCTGAAACTGAGACCCTGTTAGATACTGCCAAAGGGTCAGATAGCCTACAAAGGGATTGTTTCAAAGTTAGAGAGGAAAGAGCTTATCTGTTACCTTTTTTCAAGCCAAAGTGGCACAGAGCCTGCTCGCTGAAAACTATCCTAGGTCTAAAAAGTTCCTTTGTACTTAATACGATTGGTTAGCAGTTAAGAGTGGGGAGTAAAGTCTGTAGCTCCAATTCCTAGGCTTCTTCTACACATTACTTGTCATTTATTTCCATAATAATTCATCTTGTTATAAATGAACGTAAGCAACCCATTAAGATGTATTTTAAAATTAAAATTTGTTTGAAGTTAAAAATACTTTTTAAAAACTCTTGAGAAATCAATACAAACCTATTGATTTCTTTTTTTTTTAATTTTTTTTTTAATTTTATTTGTGTGTGTGTGTGTGTGTGTGTGTGTGTGGCCAGCTCAGCCCATCAGGGGGCCTGGCTGGCTGGCATGTGGTGCTGGGGGATTGAACTGTGGTCGGTCGGTATGCTTTGTTGCAGCTTGTTCTAAGTAGGTGCCTTAGACCACTGAGCCATCTCACCAGCCCAAACCTATTGATTTCTATTAAGCCATTTATGTACCTTGATATGCTTTAGGTACAGTGGGCATATTCTAGATAGGCCAAAGAAATACAAGAAAAACAAAGGAAGTGTATCATTTAAAATGACTGCAACAAAATTATTTTACTGGGACTGTATCTGAATTGTTTTGAGGCATGAATATAACAAAGGCAATTTATAGTGGTAGTCCATCTTCTGCCCGTTAAAGGTCACCCTAAAGGCTGTGGCATAGCTCAGGAATGAGTGCTTGCCTAGCACGTGCAAGGCTCTGGGTTGGATTCCTAGCACAAAAAGTTGGGGAGGTTCTACATATATTCCTCTCTCCTCTCTCCTCTCTCC